CCCCCCTTCCCCCCATCTATTTCTCAAACCTTTGAAGACACATTGTCTTGTTTGAGTATACGTTATATAAGATATATATTAAACTTTTTTTTTAAACCACTTTCTTTTAAGTTCTTCATTTCAAGGGGATTCCACGTGAGGATTGCTTATGTAGCAATTTGACTTGCATTGTCACATCAGACACATCAAAAAATGAACTTAATTGTTTTATTAATAATAATAATAATAATAACAATAAGCTGATATTAGAATAGCTTTATTGAGGGGAGGGAAAAAAATGGAAGTTTTTACTTAAAGAGACATTTGCCCCAAAATGGGTTAATTGTGAGCAAGCCAAGAGCAGCACTTGACTGAACTTACTGTGTATATAAATATTTTCTGCAACAAATCAGCATTCTCTGGGACATCCCTCGTGTCATGTCACATCTTTATTTCTTCAATTTTAAGTTTGTGTGAATGTTGTGGTGTGACAGAGCGTGCCTGTGAGTGAAAGTGGTGAAATGGACACGAGAATCTAAAGGCCCCTGCTCCTCAAATGATGATGATTATGTGGTGATCAAATGGCTTTGATTTACAGTTCACAACTCCAGCACCTCTTCTCACTGGCTCAGGCACAGCCATCATACTCTAGCCTAGCGTCCTGCGTTTTGGAAACAGCAGGATCAGATATCAGAACCATTGCACTGATGGACTCCACTGTGGACTTGCCTTCATTGCTATCACGGCCATAAGGGGGTGCTGCTGGACTTCTTTTGATATTGGTTGTGAAGCCATACACTGAACCTCGCTGCTGGCCACGCTTTAAGCAATGCTTCAATGCTAAACATGCAAGTTAATACCCCTGACCTCTCCTGTAGGCGTACACGGGCACAACAAGTGCCTCTTTATTATTTTGTAAATACCAAAAAAAAAGAAGCAGCTAGATGGGGAATGCAGCATTAGTAGAAGGGGAGGCCTGCAGCTTCGTAGTGTTTGATTTGCAGCTTTACTATGGTTATCTTGCTTCTTTGTATATTTGAATGTGATCAGCAGTCAGGAATGTCACACCTGATGCCGGTATAAAAGATTTCCCCCCCCCCTTTTTTTTTTTTTAGATTTTTTTTTTTTTTTTTTGCTTGTTGCTGTTAGTTAAGGCTCAGAGGGCAATGAAAAAAAGCAATCTCTAAGGGGAGGACTTTGTCCTGGAAGGCATTTCCAGCCCCCTTTTGCAAGACTTTACAATGTAACGGGTGATACCTGCTACAGTATGGTAGCTTATAACATTTGCAACTATAATGTGCCAGTAAACATTTTTACTGAAGAAATCTGTGTGTGTTTTTCTTTCATGAACTTGGTCAGTGTAAGCTACATATACATGCACTCCATTTCCTAGATAAGGCTGTCAACTAAAGGGACTGTACGTTTAGATTAATGTTACACAATGAGTGTTATTTATTAGAATTTAAATATAGATGTATATTAGGCCAGAAATAAATTTAACCCAGACCTAGTTGAAACCATGAGATGCTTTGAAATAGCATTTGAGCAATTATTTGAGAAAGGACATTTCCTACAAGCCAATTCTAGCAACTCAATTATTACATCATTTTGTAATTTGACGATTGCACTATGATAGCTTTGTTTGTATTATAAAACTAGTGAAGGAACATGGCCTCGCGTTGACCTTCGTGGGGTTGCATAAAATGCCCCAATTATGAGAGTATAATATAACCGTTAGCATTGTTCGATCTCACTAAAACGTAAGTCGCGGTGGACAAAACATTTCATTTAAGACTTAAAGTTTATCTTTTTCCTTGAACTACGCAGATGAATTTTATGAGCTTTTAAGGACCCATGAATGTCTCCCGGTTTGACGTTTTCACTACAATGTGCATTTTTGCGCAATCTCCATTTGTTTATTTATCCATCTATCTGGCTATCCACCGGAAGTTCTAACCTGCCCATCACACCATTGACCCCGCCCCAATCAGTGGACTCACCTGTCTTTATTAATGGCTGTTCTGGCTGCACGGCTCTGCTCCAGGCCTCCGTCGACACCCGTGGATAAGTAGCTGCAGCGGCCGTGCATGAGACCTCTGTCTTCGGCTGTGACCATGGCCAGGACTGGGTTCTGCGACACCAAGCCTCTGCTGGACTTACACAAGAAGGTTTGCTCGGTGTGCTCCAGAGACCCAGTCTTAAACATATGTGATATACTTCTAAAATCAACTGCTAAAATGAAGCATGGAAATTTCTTCAGTTTCCATGCTTCATTTCTTTTCTGCCTTAAACCTTGGTGTGCTTGCTCAAATGCGGTGAGAATTTGGGCAAGCTGATGGAGAAATGAAAAAGGAAAAGTAACCTTTACCTCATTAATCACATTCCTTTGTTATTGCACCCCGTTATCATCTCACAGCAACATAATTAGATGAGTCTGAAACTTTGTTTACTGCACTGCAGTCACCTTTCTCAAAGTCTGTTAGTTTCTGTTATTAGACTGATTGTGTTCACCTGCCATGAGTCCATGTGGCTATAACAGGACCTTGATGTGAGACACACTTTTTGAACAAGTCATTGCAGAGATATACTGTCAGCAGATTGTCTCACAAACTGTACTGGGGGGGAGAAATGCATAGGCATTCAATTTTAATGTCAGAATCAGAAAGTGTGAGTCAGTTACCGTCTGTGATCCCTCCAGGCGGATGAAAGGCGAGCCCCACTAAGAACCTGGGCTAATGCCTCTGGGCCTATAGATCGCTGGCAGCCTGTAGAAGCAGACGAGTCCAGGATAAACTTGCTTAAAATGGAACCAGAACGCAGATGGGTATGCTTTTTGTCTCCCAACACTAAAATGACTTCATGTACTTAAAGTGACTTAATGTATTCTTTTGCCAGCTAAGTATAGAATAGTTGCAGGAAATCTGTGTGGATGTAAAGTTCCTCTCCTTTGGAGTAATAAATCTGGGTTAGAATTGGTGCTTTTATTTTCCTTGCCATGATCATAAGAATTGCAAATTGAGCAGCATTTTGCAATGATCAAATGTGTTCTCTGCAGGAAAGGAGGCTGTCCTTGCAAACCAGTGATGGCATCATCATGGGGTTTCATGAGGACAGTAGGGCATGGTCACCTGGTAAATTAATTGGTATGTTTTGTTTTGTTTTGAAAGATCAGAGCCATAAAACCATGTGGTGCCAACATATAGGATGAATGGTTAATAAAATTGAATTGTCAGTGCTCATAAGAGGGAATATCGTTTTAAACCTGCTCAAAGTTTATAAACTTGTG